TAGCAACGGCAACAACAACAACAACAGCAAACAAACAAACAAACAAAAAAACAAACAAATCACTCACAATATCGCAGGGTCCGTTTCCTCCATCCAGCCCAGCCACGGCTCCCCGTGACGTATAAGTTTGCTGTAGACCGCGGGTACGTCAGAGTCCAGTCTGTAGGTGGAAGTCCAGTTGAACACACCTTTATAGTGGCCAAGGTCAAGGAAAACGTGAGGTAAGGGCTCCATTTCCTGGTATACCCACACCTGGAGACGTGTGGAAATGTTGGGGTTTTTGTTTTGTTTTAGTACAGGTTTTACGGCACTCACAACTACATAAGGTCATAATACTATTATGTTTGTGTTTATGCTTGTGTTTAAGTTTGTGCTAAGGGGCGAGTAGAAATGTTGTTGTTCTGTGTTTGTTTTACTAGATTTGTGTTTGTAATTTGTGTTTGTGTTTGTGTTAAGAGACATAGTGGAAATGTTGTTTTGTGTTTGTTTTACTAGATCTGTTTCTGTGTGTGTGTCTGTGTGTGTGTCTGTGTGTGTCTGCGTGTGTGTCTGTGTGTGTGTGTGTGTGTGTGAGTGTGTGTGTGTGTGTGTGTGGGTGTGTGTGTGTGTGTCTGTGTGGGTGTGTCTGTGTGTGTGTGTCTTGTGTTGGTATTGGTGTCTGTGTCTGTGTTAAGGGACAGAGTGGAAATGTTGTTTTGTGTTTGTTTTACTAGATCTGTGTCAGTGTCTTATATTAATATATCCTCACATGCAGCACATGAAGGACTTAAGTTGATTAAAAGCAGTGTGAGCGTACTGAGGAGTAGCACTATAAGCTACAGAGAAACATAATGCAAAAATCTGAATATACACCGACAGCTTTTCATGTGACTGAGTGGATCAAAGAATGGAAAAAAGAAAAAGAGAGAGAAGAGGAGAGAGAGGGGGGAGGAGAGAGAGAGAAAGAGAGAGAGAGAGAGAGAGAAAGAGAGAGAGAGAGAGAGGCAGAGAGAGACAAAGAGAGAGACAGAGAAAGAAAGGAAGAAAGAAAGAAAGAAAGAAAGAAAGAAAGAAAGAAAGAAAGAAAGGAAGGGAGAAAGAAAGAAAGGAAGGAAGAAAGAAAGAAAGGAAGGAAGAAAGGAAGAAAGGAAGAAAGAAAGGAAGAAAGCTGAAGAGAACGAACAACTGAAAAAGACAGAAGAGAAGAAAAAAGAAACAAGCAAACAAACGAGCAAAGAGGAAAAAAACAGGTCATATTGTGCCAAAACAGTACATTTTGTAGCTGACCCGTTCATGAAGGAAAAATGTAGCTGGAGGTGTGCACCGGATGCTTTGTTGTTTAAATAAGGTTTTACGGCGCTCGCAACTGCATAAGGTCATATGAGCGTCAAGGGGTGGACGTCAACAGAGAAGTACAAACGGGGAATCAGGCTTACTCTGCTCACTTCTCTAGCCTCAACAGCACAAAGTCTGCTTCGACTATCAAGTCACCCCGGAAAAGGCAGTTCACAAGAGAGTGACAAACATACAAAAGAAGTATGGAGGGAAAATGATGACAGTAAGGATGAGGAAAGAAAAAGCAGTAGTTCCTCCTTTGTTGTTCTGGCGCAGTATGAGCTTGATATTGATAAATCAGCCCATTTACAATTCTACTGTGCATATGAACATGCTAATATCCCTCCTTTGGGAATGGCCTAAAGACAACTTCAGTCAGTAGCACTGCCCTAGGGGTGAGCTCCGAGTGTAATATCGGACAGAAGATATTCGGAGACATCTCCGGCGAGCACCAAGGAACTATTCGGAGACGTACTCCCGCACACAGATGCACTGCTTTGGG